AGTAGGACTCCTTGGACAGAGAGTTGGCGAGTCACGAAGGCCTCTACCTACACAGAATGACACAACACTGAAAGATGATGACAAACATCCATGCCTTTCTAAAGACACTATTTTGGTCTTCAGTTGAATACATCAGAGATGAGAAGCCACTGTACTTTAAAAATTTTACTCATTGCATATGAATAAATCTGACTCCATGGCAAACCAATGTAGTCCCAACTTATGGATAAAATCTTATGATGATCAAAGAAAAGTATAGTACATAAAAAACAGCAATTTAGTAAATTAATGGGTAAGGTGTGCTCATGACAATTTAAAGAATATAACAGCTTTCACAAACCATTAGAACGTGGATCATAAAGCCGAACATGTCTGTCGGCAGAGGCTGTAATTAACGTTCCATTAAGAGGTGACCAACTTGCATCAAAGAATGACTTGTTACCAACAATCTCACTCTTAATGCCACCAATTTCTGTATCCCAGAGTCGTAATGTGTGATCCCATGATGCTGTGCATATTTCTGAAGAATCTGTCCAATTCACAGCAGAAATAACTTCTTTGTGACCCTTCAAAGTCATCAACGGAGTCTGTGAACAATACCAAAAATATTATATAATGTATTTCTGAAGAATATGTTCACTGCACAGCAGAAATGGCTTCTTTATGATCATTCAAAGTCATCAAAGAAGTACGTCACTGGAAGTGTATCACTTTTATACAAATATATAAACCATGGAGCCTTTAACAAGTTAAGATTGACCTAGGTATATCTAGATGTACAGACAGCTTCCTAAAATACACATGGAAGCTAATTTTTAATTTTTTCGCAAAAAACAAACAAACAAACAACAACAACAACACCACCCCACACACACACACACAATATTGGAAGTAGAGGCGGCAAAAAACGGACACTGCCCAATTACAAACAGTACAACACAGAGCTACAGAATATTCAAACAAATAAATGTGCAACACTTCCAACCTTCCCAGCAACAATGTATTTTCAAAGATTTTATCTACTTTATTTAGTGGGCCTTCAATTTATTACACAAATTTTCAAAACCCAAAGCACAGTATTTCAAACACAATTTAGCTACGTACAATTCTTCAATATAAAGTACAGTACAGTAAAGACAAAACTGATCTCCTTACCCTAACTTGTGATTTCCCATGCTCTGTTTTTAGTCGCTTGGGAACTGATTCTCCTCCTTCATCTGATGCCTCATGAATGGCTAAAATGAAACGTCGTAACTTTACTTCACCAGGTATTTCATATCAAATCTACTGAACACCATAATAAAAATAAGCTAAAAATTATACTTTATAAGACTCAACTTTAAATCAACCTCCAAACAATGACTTGCATAGAATTATATAAAAAATATGGGAAAACTATTATGTACTGGTTTTTCTCAACATAATTCCACATAAATTGTTCTCAGAGAGTGGCTCTCTACAGGCTGTTTTCACACAAGTAGAATTTTAAACTTCTCTAATTTCAAAGAGACTGTACATTTCAGTGATGATAATCTACAGATTTCAAAACAGAACTGAAAACACTTCAATATGTGTAAAACCTTACCAGCTGACCAAATCTTGAGCTTTGTGTCAAAACCTCCTGTAGCCATCCGTGATTCACTACGACTGATCCCTACACACTCCAAACCACGCTCATGCCCTCGACAGACATGAATACATTCCACAGCATTAGTAGACACATTCCATTCCCAGAGCATAGCTGTCTGATCATGTGATACACTGAAAACAATAACAAAATAATCACTGGTTCTGCCTCTGAAAAACAGTATAGAAATCTATAATTAGAAATCACACAGCTGAAAACTCAATAACAACATCTGAACATGACTACACAAATGTCTCCCACAGAGTATATAATAAGTTCAAGCTTGAAAAGAGACGTCTTTATTTAACCTTCAAAGTTTAGCATTTACGTTTCACACAAGAAAAAATTTACAGTGGAACCACAGATTCGGAGAATATGACATAAATACGTCTTTGTATTTAAATTATCATCATCAGACTCTTTTAGCTTCAATATCATCCATTTGGTATCTCTATATAGTATGACGCAACACACAAACGCAGCAGCAGCAACATGAAATGTGATGCGCCTTTATTTCTATAAATAAATGTTTGTAGAACCTAAACCTTTTGTGGTATGTAAAATATGAAAAGAGGTATGGAAAGCTTACGTATTTAGTACGTAATATGTCCCGATCCATCTCTTACGGTTTTCGAGAGGCGGGTGCTTAATGCGCCAGATGCATTAAAAATTGTACACATTGGTTCATTAAAATTACAATAAATTTATAAACAATTATAATTACAATAAAATACATTACAGATTCTTAAAGGTCTTGATTTATTGATCATTTTACATGTAGGTTACATTACCCTTACTCTTACCATTCCTAAGGAATGAACGTTTAAAGGTGACTCGGCGCTGGATCTTACACATCTTTGTAACTACCGCTGTTTTGCCGAATGACCCTTCCGTATAGACAAATTTACGTCAAAACATGCACAATTATACAAGTAAGAGATCCAGACTGTATAAACTACTGAATGTGTGTAGCATAAAATTAAAAAAAGTGGGAACATCATTATGAATAATTCTGGAAGAATACAGAAAGAATTAGTTATGACCTATTTTATGGTACTACCCCAGAAATTTCCTAGAAAATTATGATGCCGTGAAAACCTGAGTAGAGAAAGCTTATTTCCCAAGCCAAGAGCCCTGAATACAAAGGCATGCCAAACACGACACTGAAGTGACCAAGAAGAATGAAGGTGGGTGTTGCAAATATACACACATACAAATTTTGTCTCATTTACACTTGAAGTAACTCAGTACTTTGTAACTGACTGGCTCATGACAGCAGAAGTAGCAAAACCTGGGCCACTGTTGTTCAAAATGGTCACTTTAGTAACATGTTTTTCCTTATTACCTTACAAACGTTGCCAACGTATCATCATGTGTCACCCATGCTACAGCTTTAATCGGGCCAGTGTGTCCTGGGATGGTCAACCGATGTTTCCCTTCTGCTGACCACAGATGCAAAGTGTTGTCATAGCAACCAGACAGTATCCTAAATTAAAAACTATACATTATATTTTTAACCCATTATTATACTACTTTTCTAGCATTTATTCATCACAATTATTATTTATTTTTAAAATTTCTGTACATAAACTCAAAGGGTGATGTTGCAAATATGGCAGTTACATAATAAGTCTTACCAATGAAGACTACAAGTACACAAGGTTCTAAAGTATTTTCTAGGAAGACAGAAAGAACTCACCAACCACCCTTGAGATGTACTGCTGATACCCAATCATCATAAAGCAAACAGTTATTCCACATCAACTGTAACTTCACTTGATACAGAGCGCTCTTGTAGATGATCAGACAATACAACCCGCAAGGCTTCTCCACATACCAGAAAATCAAAATCTATCTCTCGAAACTGTTTCTCAGGGTCATCACCTATCAGAGTGAATAAGCACACAAAAAGATCTTATAAATGAACTGGTCTAACACTTTCACCACACAAGTGTTCTAAATTCTGTGAAATAAAAATACAAATAATGAAAATTTTTCAAAATTATACAAAAGTTGAATATTTACACATTATTTATCATCTACAAAAAATTTTACAAACAAAAATAACCAAACAAGAAGAAAATTCAACATTGGTGTGTGTCGCAGCAGTTATGTTACTTTGTGTAACAAATACATTACCCTCATAGGTCCAGTCACATCATTTACATACCTTTCAAAAGCTCGTTAATCAGCGAATTAAGCTCACTGCAGCTTACACTCGATGGGACTGTAAATGGAGTATCTGGAACTGCAAACCTGCAATATCAAACACTACTGTTTAGCAGTACATTAATGTCGGTGTGCACTTAACTACTTCACTTCGACACTATAATTATCCGCATTCACAAACATTTAATGGCAATTGTATGAAAATGTACCGACCTACACCTGATATAACTGTCAATCTATATTAATGCTATTTTGATACACACGGCCTTTCAGAAAACCAAGTCACCACGTTTCTCTCATGCTGGTTTCATGGTGGCAAGTGCGTAAATATATTGCCCTGGATATTACTTATCGCACAGCAGTCTTTCAAGAACATAATTAAATACAACAAGAATGTAATTTCGACATTAAATACAATTTATCTGTCTTATTTTAAACTCAAACTTACTGTCGTTGTTTTGTAATGAAACGAACTTGCACTTGCGCTGCCATGTTGCTTGTTCTGGAATGCTTTTCATTGCACACTACTGCTCCGACATGATGGATAATCTATGAAACCGAAAGATCATCTATGTTGATGTAATGTAATATGTACAGTAATTGTAACGGATGATAAACTTCTTTTACAGTCTACCAATCTATGATTTGCTAAAAGGATTAAAAAATTTACGCCTTACATGACGCATAAACTGCAATTTCAAACTACGTCTTATGGCATTCACAGTTTGAACAGTTATTACTCCACCACCAAGTCCAGACTTCAAGATCCGTTCATCCACATACAATTCATCCATGATCAGTATCGTACAAAATATGTGCTGTACTGTAAACAGTCAATTTAGCATGCAGCAGAATGTATCAAATTTCTCATCATGCACCTTCTAAATTTTATGTACTCCGCTGCTACAGATGTATTACATTTCAGACATTTGCGTGACCTTGCTGCAAAGAAAAGGAAAGCGGCTCAGAATCAAACACCCACTTCTAATTTACTTTATAAAAATTAACCTTCATTTATAAATATAAATTATGGAAAATACCATATTTGGAAGATCTTCTCATTTAACGCTATGCTGCATTTTCTTAATAATATAATAAACTGAGTTGATATTTTTCATTAGTCTTTGTTATTATCTGACGCTTACGTCGGATAGTCAGGACTCAACTGTTTTATGGTCTGGGATCATGGCCCCTGTGCATCCATTATTATGTTCTGAAACGGAGGCCCCCACATAGCCATTATAATGGTCTAGATCAAGCCCCTTATGTAGATATTATAATGGTTTCAGATGAAGACCCTGTAAAGCCACTATAATGGTCTGGGATAGAGGCCTACTTCTAGTAATTTTAATGGCCCCATATGTAGTCATTATAACTGTCTAGGATAGAGAAGTATATATAGTTACCTACTTACATATATACCAGTCACGATAATAAACCGTTATATTGGGTGCACAAGGGCCTGAAACCTATACCCTTACAAATGCTAGCTAAGTGACTCAATCATAGACCATTATAATGAACAGATAGGATCCACAATACTAGATAAGAGGGGACTCCATCCTAGACTAGTATAATGACTAGATGGGGTACTATATTCTAGACCAGGAGTTCTCACCCTTTTTCTCAGGCATACCACCAATTCTAATTTAACACATTATATGTACCACTAACCAAAGGTGTTCAGGGAAAACTTATTTATGTAAATATTATCTTTTGATTTTCTTACACAGTTTGCATACCACCAGGGGTACACGTACCATAGGTTGAGAAATGCTGTTCTAGACAATTATCATGGCTAGACTGGGGCCTTGATCATATACAATAAAATGGCTACACAGTACATCCTAGACCATAACAATGACTAGATAGCAGAATGAACAATAGATCACTGTATTGGTTATACGGAAGTCTATCATCTATGGGATTAATACCTTAGAACAAGAAACCTAAATTAAGGTTTCGCTGTAATTTCCTTCAGAATGCACCGAGATGGCAGCAAAACTTAGGACACATACATTTCCTTATCCGAAGCTTGCACAAAACACATCATTCTCAAAAGAACTTGGTACACATTCAGTAACTAAACACTGGACTGATGTAACTACTGCTAACCATGTTTCACATTTCAGAGTGGTGGGAAATTGATATAAAAAGGTTTGTTGTTTGAACAGAGATATACAACTATTAAACATCATTCTTATAATCTCCGAATTTGCTAGCACAGAAATTCTATTCACCTTAATAATAATAATAATTATAACAGCAAGTAATAATAATAATAATTTATAATGCTGATGCAAGTATCATTTCCCCTTCATACATATCAATAATTATTATTAAATCACTGTTTTATTTGCTTGACACATCATGTAACTACCAACCCACAAGAGACATTTAGTGATTTTTTTCTTGTGCTGTACATCACTATTTAATTATATTCTAATTTATATACATGTGAACATCATTACACCAATTAATTAAACTACACACATTTCATATTTTAAGGTTCATTTATTGTATTATTGTATCTGCTGAAATGCTATCTTTTGACACATTGACTAGATCAATGCAAAGTTGGTTGAGGTTCCCAAACTTCAATACTGAGTTGCATAAACTGCTGGCATAAATAAATTTCACCTTTATGGAATGGTAAACTTTGCTTCATTTGTTAACTTATACCGATGATACAAAGGATTGTGAAAAATATCCATCCATGGACAGAACCCATAACAGTTGTGACGAAATACAAGATACAGGTTTCAAAGAAATAATGGTACATGAAATTACTGTGTCTTTGAGCTGACTGATGACACCACAGCACTTTGTAATTCTCAGCAAAACATAGCTGTAACTATGAGACAATTTAAATTTTCTATTTTATTTACATCAACCAAAAACAGCCACAAAACAGTAAAGTCGTATCACAAACACATGTAAAATAGAAAGTGAAATTTTCATCCAAGCGACAGATTTTAGATAAGAATGAAAACTTCGCATTCTTTACCTGGATTTCTTCATTTATAGGCTCTCATTCTTAAACTGTTCTAATTTAATTTCAGAGCATATTTAATCATAATATGATGATGTACAATTCTGAGTTATCCATTTTTCCTTGTGGCTAATACATAGTTTTCAGGTTGACAGACATCAAAAGTACAAGAATTTTAAATTTAATTTACCTGTATTATGGGATTCTTTACACAAAATTGTTGTCATATTGTCACTTAAGAACAGTACTGCTAAATGAAGCACTGATGTAAATATTTGTGGAATGATATTACTAGACGGTTTCCAACGTTTCCATGACTACCAATCAATACCCCAACTAGGCCGAGAGAAGAATACATCACAGGATTTTAAACTCACACACCTTCTGCACACTTCTAACTACGCAAGTGTACTTTTTTCTTTCAATTTTGCAGTAAAAATTAAATATTAGTTATTCTTGAGCCTATAGCACATGTTTTACACCAACACTTCTAAAACACCAATAGAAGAAATTATTATACAATATTATTCTGCACATTCTTATCTCATTATTATTTTATAAAACAAGTGACAGTCATCTATCTTACACAATTAACTTCTTCCTTCATATCATTTCATATATTCTTAGTTTAAAAGAAGGAATTGTGCTAACTGTCAATATTTTATAAAGTTCAGCCAACTTTTATTTCATTCATATCTTCTTTTTAGTTTTAAGTGCATGCAAACTGCACAGAACTCAAAAACAAATTTATGACACTTGGTATCCACATTAATATTGAAGACATATGATTCTATTTTATGCTTTTACTAATTGTATTTGCTAATTCACTGTAATGGGTTTATGAACCACAGTAGGAGAATCAGTATACTCGTGTTTTCCATTCAGAGATCAGTGATAATTCATCTGTACATGAAGAATGAGATAAATAAAATCAAAAGAAAAAAGTATAACATTTAAAATCAATACTTACATAAAGGGATTCAAAACCTAGATTGTACGCCCAATAATTGTCTTATTGTACAAATAATCATCATCGCCTACAATATTGTCTATCAAATTAATTAATTAATAAAAATAAGTTTTTAAGAAAAGAAATTTACTGAAAGGCAGAAGTAGACAGAAGCAATAAATAAAATTGATCAACAGCAATGGATAAGTAGGGCACAAAATAAGGAAGTTATGCCCCACAGGTTTCACACCAAACTATTTCAAAAAATTGTTTCCTCTCTTGTACGGGAGAACTGATGTCTCATCAGTAAAATGTTTCTTTCTGATAACTCTCTGGATGACAATAACCAAGACAAGGAACTGAGACAATAATAACAGTGATTGTTAAATGACAACAAAACAAAGACTGAAGATTTCCATCTTCTGGATTGTTGCACTGTGTAGTATGGTCGATGTTTACCAACGTTTCTGATGTCATACTGCCTCCATCTTCAGGGCGATCAATGTGCCAATTTGGTGGGTGGGGCTGGGTTTATAGGAGCTGGACCGTGAATGGAGTAGCCTGTCCCCAGCCAATGGGAGCAGGTGTCAAATCAGGCGTGGGTGTGGACCAATAGGAGTGCATGGGTGAGTGTGAGAGAAAGGAAAGAGAGAGAGGGGTTGAAGACAGCCTTTGTGAGGGCCTCGGGAAGTGCGTCCGATGGGACATCGGGTGGATTGTAATTGGGGCCCTGAAAAAAGCCAGGTTAGTGGCCGATCACAAACCACCCAACTCCTGATGTCCGACCGAACGCACTTCCCGGGGCTGTCCTTCAACCCCCTCCTCTCTCTTTCCTTTCTCTCCCCCTCTCTCACACTCGCTCCTATTGGTCCACACCCACGCCTGATTTGACACCTGCTCCCATTGGCTGGGGGCAGGCCACTCCATTCACGGTCCGGCTCCTATAAACCCAGCCCCACCCACCCAATTGGCACATTCATCGCCCTGATGACGAAGGCAGTATGACCTCAGAAATGTTGGTAAACATCAACCATACTACACAGCGCAACAACCCAGAAGACAGAAATCTTCATACTCACCGCTGTGAAAACCTCAAATCTTACATAACAAAGACTGCCTAATATTGACGTGATACAGCAAAAAGTGTTCTGTTCATAACACTTAATTCTTGAAGCTTGCGTTGAAATGGCAAGCATATTCTCTTCTAAAATCAGGCCAATATAATAACAAATGTAGGCAATACTTATAAAATACAAACAATGTTACTTTAAACATGAACAACAAAGGACAGTGATGTCATAATTCTTCTGTGTAACTGTATCTCTCAAATGCAGTCTAATTAAAACTCCTCTCTCCAAAATGGGTTTTCAGTTATTGCTACAAGATCATGGATTCATGAGAGATTAAAAAAGTGCAACAATTATACTCAATAACAATATATAAATATATATATATATAATTATGTGTATAAATTTATTCTAAAGAAATCAAAGTACGAAATTACAAATTCATGAATATATCAACTTTCATGAAACCACAAAACATGAGAATTTTTTTTCAGCACAATGTTAATAGTACTCTCTGCCCACTACCAAAATACAAATTGTGTAAGTACATAAGAATTTTGAAAATGGGCAGTTGGGATCACCTCTTGTCCAGACATTTAATGCCTATGTCTATTTCTGCCTTGAGGACAGGGAAGTGACAAAAAACGTAGGAAACCTTTTTCACTTTCATAACCAAACACACAAAAACCCAGTCAAAAGCGTAGAAACATACAAGAAAAAATTGCTCTTCTCCCAGTGAGCATGCATGCCCTGCTTCGTCTCAATTCACTGACAGGAATTACCTTCCTTCCTTGCTAAACAAAACCCAACAGAGGTTTGGAAAGTAATCGAACTGTAATTAAATTGTTTTAAGCAATTAAAAAGGGGATGCTTCTAATGTAGCGGACATAAAAGTATTTTGTGTTTTAAACTAAATCATTTATTGTACTGGCTAACAGCAAATGCCACAGTTTGAAATATGGCATGTGATGCAAGCAACGGGCAAGTTGGAAGAAGGGGCAGTGTGAGCATCCTCTTCATTCCGTTTCAGCCTTCATGCCCCGGACCTCGCCAATCATGCGTTGCTGTAACATTAATCAATGCTTGTTACTACACTCAACAAAGAACACACATGCATGTCTTGTAACACAACAGGGATTTTGAATTCATAACTGAACTAGTAAGAGATATATTCATCAGACTGAAGTTTCATATCGATTTCAACATATTTTTCTCGTAAATGATAGTTTGGACAGAAAAATCTGAAGAGAAGAGACCACTTGGAAGACCTACACATAAAGTGAAGTGTAATGCATCTTAAAATTAGGTTAGGTGTGAGTTGAATTTCGCTCTGGATAGAAGATTCAACTAGGGAGAAGATTTATGAATATGCTAAGGGACCTATGAGTTCCAGGTAATGACTATTTAAACAACTATTAGTTTCTCACAGACAACTCTGCTCCACAGAGTTGTTAGTTTGTTAGTTAGTGATAACATTTTTAATATCATATCCAACACACCACCTCCTAAAAAGTAACATCCTCTTTGAAAGAAAATATAAGAACATAAAACAGAATCTGTTGAATGCTGGTGGAACCAAATGTATAAAAGGTAGTAGGGATACATAGGAGAATGGAGGTAATCCTAAACTTTGGCATTAGGCACACGTAGTTAGCTTCATAAGCAACAAGGACAAATCGGGAACAGTCACAACCCAAAATAGGAGTGAACACTGCACCACATAAAATCAAATACGTCTGCAGAAACAGCAAGACTCGAAAGTGCAATCCATACTGGAGTACACAGAGTTTCCACATGCGTTCTTTGCAAGGTGATATTCTTAAAACTACTAGTAGTTATGAACAATAATTTCAACTTGAGTTAGGTCCTAACATCATCTTCCCTTATCTTTGGCTCTTAGAAATTCCATTTGTACCATTTTTTAATCCTCTTTTCAGGTCTTCTCTTATCGAAGACACAATGAGACAGCCATTGTTTCATAAAGTTTAGTTTGTTTCCTTCCTACTTTGTTGTGTGTTTAGTCATAGATCTGGCTGAATCCAGTGACTTTGTTTTCAGTATCTTTATCATTAAATCATGATACACAGATAGACAGATAGTTCCTGTAACTCCTCAGTGCAACTTAGGGCCTCCTTTCGGAGGTTTCATAGTCTTTTTTTTAAAGTGTGCATTTAAGAGAAGTGAGTGATTAGCCCACTGACTCTGCACAATTTATACTCACTCCTGATTGGACTGCCAGAGCCATCAAGCAGTGAATCAGGAGAGACTTGGGTGAGAAATGGCTGCTGAATTTCGCTTACGAAACATCTTGTAAAGGGTGCGGCAGAAGAAACGCATGTTTTTCGAATGGCTAGTACTCGGCAAGGAGGAGGGTGGGGGATTTCCGCCCCTTGCTAGTAGACACCTTAGATGATGCAGTTTCAGTAGCCATGGCACCGTGGACCCGCGAACATCGGGTGTTTGTCGTTGAAAATTGTATCAAAAGTGGTGAATCCGTAATTGCCGTTCAGCGCCTTTTCCGTAAACATCCCCGATCATAACACAATACTCAGGTGGGTTGATGCATTTAGGAAAACAGGGTCTGTGATGAAGAGGAAACCATCTGGCCTTCCCGCATCTGTGCGTACACCTGAAAATGTTGAGAGAGTGAGATTGGCAGTTCTCAGAAGCCCGAGGCGTTCTGCTCAGTGCCAAGCTTTAGCTTTGCGGATGTCAGATCGGTCTGTACGTCGCATCCTACACAAACACTTAAAATTTCATCGGTACAAGATAATGATAGTACAAAAGCTGCTCCAAGGAGATTTTGTGTAACGAAGAGAATTTTCTGAAACAATGTTTGGCATTCTTAATGAAGATACGATAATAATGATGAGTGACAAAGCACATTTCCAGTTAGATGGGGCTGTGAACAAACAAAGCTGTAGGTACTGGGCGGCGGAGAACCCACGGCAGCTACACCAAAGACCTCTCCACAGAACAAAAGTAACAGTGTGGTGCGGAGTTGCCAAATTTGGGATGGTTGGCCCTCATTTTTTTGAAGAGGGGGATACCTCAGTTACAGTGACTTTGGCACGCTATGTCGAAATGCTTAACAATTTCCTGCTTCCAGAACTGCGCAGACAAAGGGTCAATATGCGGCAAATGTGGTTCCAACAGGATGGTGCCACAGCACACATGGCGAGAGCATCGATGCAGGTGGTTCGTGGCATGTTTCCCCAACACGTCGTCTCCCGTTTCGGTGATATCCCTTGGCCGCCTCGCTCCCCTGATCTCTCCATATGTGACTATTTTTTGTGGGGTTACCTCAAATCAAAGGTTTACAGAAACAAACGACGCAACATCCAGGAACTGAAAGATTCCATTTGCCAGGAAATCGTTACTGTGGGGGAAGAAATGTTGGGAAGAGCAATGCAGAATTTCGAGGAGAGGCTGCAAGAGTGCGCACAGAAGGAAGGGCGTCACTTGATGGACGTTATTTTTCGGAAGTAATTCAAAAAGTTCAACAAGAACTGCATTTAAAAACCTTTCTTTTTGTGTAATTAAAAAATTTTTAACTTGAAAATCAACTGAGTTATTGTTATTTGAAAAACACGCGTTTCCTCTGCTGCACTCTGCATCATGTTCGCAAGGTGCCATAAATCTACGACATGGGACTGCCGGCTTTACTTCCCTCCGAAGGAAGTTGTGCTACGGATTTTTATCACTCTTAAAAAATACATCGACCTCGGCCGGGATTGAACCTGCAAACCCTGGGTCCAGTGGCGAGCACGCTAACCACTAGTCCACCGAGGGCAACAAATCATGATATGGCAGCCAAGAAAATGGAGTTAGCAGCTCTCATCAGTAAGAACTCTATTTAATAGACAATCAATTAAAGTCTGCCCACCTTATCCAATTCTTCTTTTGTTTTCTCCTCAATGGCTCGAATATCCTCCATGGTGAGACCGTGCCAGCGGTCTATCCAGCAGAACACCTGCCTGCAAAACCCACAACAAATATTTTATTAATTTAGGGCCTTATAAGGGAGTAAGGGACAGTGAAGTGTCCCATTTCAATGTCATTCAACCTTCTTCCGAAAAGCTCCACTTCAATTTGCAACTCACTGGACAATGGAGGAAATGATCACACAAATTCTGCCCTGAAGCTGAAATGCCACTTATTGACTAGCAACAAAGTAATGCTTTCAGAGTAATATGTAAAGAGAACTTGGCTGATTTTCATCTGCTGTTAACAGAAATTTAGAAAATAAAGATTACAGGTAGTCCTGGAATTACGCTGGGGATGGGTTCCTGGACGAACTGGCGTAAACGGAATCAGCGTAAATTGAAACTCTTTTATAATGTAAATTAATGGGAAGTCAATGACATGCGTTCCCAGCACCCAAACATTGACGAGTAATATAATGGCATTACATTTAAAGCTCTGAAATAATGTAAATAAAATAAAGGGAATTTAAAAAATATATTTTATACACTTACAATTGGCAATTCGTTGGTCCCCGCGATTGACAGCAATTGATGTGTACAGTCATCTCTGCTGTTATGCGATATTTGCATTCATTTAAGACGCTGACCTATAGAAAATTGCATAGTAAAAATAACCCCGGTACCTCCGCAGAGATTAAATTAGTCTTTTGAAAGTTTAAAGCGCCAGGAATGAAACTGCATAAGAGCAAACTCGCATATGCAAAAGTTTGCATTCACAAACAGCTTTTGCCGATTCATCAATCTCATTGGAGCAAATTCGCATTAATGAAACATACGTAATTGCAGAGATGACTGTATTTATAATTTTTATTCAAAATCAGTGATGTAAGAATTACGATTTAGTATAAAAATCAGTACGAGAAACATTGTAAAACGTTATAAATAATAGTTTTTCTTCTTCACTTTTTGACTTTCTGGTTTCAAAATCGGCGCAAATCGAGGGCTACCTGTACAAGTGAATTACATTTAACATTAGAGACCACTCCTAATTATAATTTAATGAGCTTCAGAGTAAACAGCTAAGTTTACACAATATCAAAACCTATTTTGCAAGACAATATGAATAATAATTGGAAAACTGCAGGGGATAAGAGAAGCCAATGTACCAGATCCTCATTGAGGTTAGAATCAGATGCCACAAGGATGTCAGACTGGTACATTAATGCTACATTAAAATGTTAATTCATCTGATAAAAAAACCACAATTCAACTTTCAAAGAAATAATGCACCCATAAAATACCTATGAAAATTTGTGAAGAGGCGTCGCTCTGATTTTTGGATGAAATGTTCTATCTTTGTCTGGAGACCAAACCACTTGAATTCAACAGTTACTAATTTGTAGCATGTCATGACTGGTTTCACCTGAAACAACACATTAAAATTAAACATCACAGAAGTACTGCTATTGAATCAGCAATAAAATTAATTTCATTATGTCAAAAGCACAACCTTTTTGGAAAACATCATACAATGACACACAGCAGAAGAAGTCAAGATAATGGGTATTATGTGGTTAGGCTGCATGCTAGTAGCTGCAGAGAATTCAATTGTTGATACACCACTCCAGATGACCTTTTAAATGGTATAATGAGTGTTGCTGAAGTTAAAAAATACACGACTAAGTGATTAATAAAAATTGTTTGTACCTTATCCATCCACTGTCCTCTAAGAGGTCCTCGTCCTGTCTTCTCACTTTTGAACTTTGTTGGGTCTTCATCAGGTTTATAATCAGCTGCAGTTACAGAATCATTAGCAATATCTATGTGGACCACATCTCGATTTCTCAGCTTTTCTGGTGGTAGCTCATGTACCTGAAGGCAGTTACAACAGCATAATCAAAGCAACAATAAAATCACAATTTACAATTTCAGGTTCTCGCGAATATGAAGATGGCCGTCTTCTGAGGTGTCACACCATGAAGTCTGGTAGAGATTTACTTACGTTTTTTTTGGAGGGGGGGGGGGCTTTCTGCTTTCATCATCAGAGCGGTAAATTCCTACAAGACAACACAGTGCAACACCACAGAAGATAGTCGTTTTCAAATCCAAATTTGCATAACCTACCTTTTAACAATATCTACACTCATCCATACCTTATTATCAAAGCAGCTGCTTTCCATGAGATTTCCTATCAAAACTTTGTGTTTTCTAATTGCATGCTTCAAGAATTTAGAAATATTTATTTCAAGTAACACCGAGAGTAAGAAAAAGTAGCAGTGTAGAAAGAACATGTAAAAATAATACAAAAAGAGAGAGGACAGTATAAATGAAAAGATAACTTGAAGATGGCTGTCTTCTGGACTGCTGTGTCACGTTATCTGGTAGGAGTTTACCAATGCTTGAGAAGTACATGCTGCCTCCATCATCAGGTCACGTTGAAAATGGGAGCAACAAGAACCTCTAAAACGTCAGTAAAAGTCTGCATGACACAACAGAAGACAGCCATCTTCAGTACTACCTTCTGTTTTATTTTCACTGTAAGAAGACCAATTAAATATATTCATTTACAGTATTTAACATAATTCAGGTTATGAATGTACAATACACAACAACCCATAAACATCTACCAACTACTACTTTGCTCTTCACCCACCTTTCAAAATAACCACTGCTCTTAACATCACACTCACTACAAACATGTAAAATTATAAGCAAATTATGCCCTTCTGGGTTATGACATCATGTAGCCTTGTAGATAGTTACCAACAATTTTGAGTAACACTGACAACCACCCACGAACCTCAAATCTTAGAAGCAAAATTCCAATCCTCTTTAAACATTATGCAGCAACTCAAGTGTTAAACTACTAGCAACTAACATAAATAAGTTATGACTATAAAGCAACTACTTTCTTCTCATGGTACAGTAAGCTGCACTAAAAGTGAACACATCACTGTTCTTATTAAAACTACTGTAGGCATTTACAATGCAACAGATAAGATGCTTACCACTGTTAACTCAGGAGAGGGAGGGGCAAAACACCCTTTTAAACAGAAAAATTTCAACAATTTTGGCTTTCATGTTATTATTGTTTATTAAATTTTAAAAATGCACAATTTTCTCATAAGGATGGCAAACTTTCACCTGACACACAACCCTCTGTTACATGAGTCCACCTCTTAACACAGAAGTTACTTCTCATTCATAAAACTGATATTTCCCTTAACAGACTGGCTTGTCCAGTATAACAGAGGTTAATATAAGACTGAGTTACAGTTTGTCTACACGGACCAGCTACAGAAAAGTCAGTGGGAAAAACATATGCATATTTCATTTACATATATCACGGAAGAGATGTAAGAATTCATCTACTACATTCACTGGTATACAAGATGACATGGCACATAAAATAATTCCAATTAAGTTCAGGGCTACATTCACCAGATAGTAATAATCCGAGGTGTAACAGCCCTCTGAGAGCCAAAGCCGACTAGCTTGACTGCTGGCCTCACATTCACATGCCTAAGCAGAGGTGAACGATCACCAAACCAGATATAGGGTGACGTGTGGTCAGCACGACAAACCCCCAGCCATTGTTAATTTCCATGACCGGATTATGCTACCCATTGCAGCTCCCCAAATTCCTCACGACGCTGGGTTGGTGCCGGTCCCATATACCGGTCGAAAATCTCATGAGAAATTTCTTTCCCCGAGAGGACAACTATAAAATAATCTGACTAAAATTCTTTCAAAAGTTGCAAAATCTTTAATCACATACTATCATTAACACCCACAATGGTAGTTGTCTGGTTGTAGCTTGGATCTGGTGTCCGTTCACACTATATCAGCTGTTGCAAATGGCATGTGGCATCTAGTTCATCCTCATGACTTTCCAGTTATAGTAAGTGTAGTCATGTTTTTCCACCACACATTATTTTATTGTAATCTTGATGTTAATAAATATATACCAAATATGATTTTCAATTATAGTGAGAGTTACATGATGCACAGTAGTCTAACAATTTAAGGTTCACATTTTATGTATCATACGAGGTGCGATCGGAAAGATTCCAGACTGTGTCAATAACGGGCGAACCGGATGTAGTACGAGCTTCTGCCGCTAGGGGGTGCGGCCTACCTTCATAGTGAATCAGTGTGCCAGCCGGCATCATCGAATTAGCATTTGTTTCTTAGTTACGGGCGTTTTGGTAGTGCATTACACCGACCCTCCTGCGATTTCGAAATGGCGGATTTTCATGAACAAATCAAATTTTGCCAAAGACTCGCCAAAACGGCTACGGAAACCTATGAAATGCTAAAGCAAGCATTTGGGGAGTCCGCAATGGGTCGTGCACAAACTTTTGTGTGGCATTCACGTTTTAAAAATGGCCGATCCTCTGTCGATGATGACGAGCGTTCTGCACGACCATCTTCGAGCACAACGCCCGAAAATGTTACCAAGATTCGGCAGGCCATTCACGAAGATCGACGTCGTACCATCAACGACTTGTGCGACATTGTTGCGTGAAGATGTGAGACGGAAGCGGCCGTCAAAGTGGCGCAACCACAACTGGCTGCTGCATCATGACAACGCGCCAGCGCACACCGCCCTCAAAGTTCGGCAGTTTTTGGCCTCAAACACCATGGCCGTCATCCCGCACCCTCCTTATTCGCCGTGTGACTTCTTCCTCTTCCCAAAGATGAAAATTCAGCTAAAGGGAAGGAGATTTGAGACGATAGAAGAGATTCAGGCAGAATCGCAGATGGTGCTTAACAGGCTGACAAAGAAAGATTTCCAGGGATGCTTCCTGGCTTGGCAGCGAGTTCACTCCCAGGGGAACTACTTCGAGGGTGATGGATGAATTTAATACCTGAGATAAGTGTATGGGTTTTTATAGGCGCAGTCTAGAAACTTTCCGATCGCACCTCGTATATGAAATTATACCTAGTTTTGGAAGACTTCTTTTGAGCTTATAATGTGATCTTGTACACCAGCATACAAGATATATAAATGGCAACTTGTGTAATGATTAATTCTGTATAATTTCTAAAGTTACTTAAAGAAGCAAAAAACCGTGTTCCTCACCTTTCCAGAAGAAATCCAATTTCAGCAACATCTAATACTTGCATCATTAAAATCTTTGAAATTACGAGAAGGAACTAATTTAATCGCCTATTTGAGACCCGTCTATAACAGTCTGAACTTAGTCAAATTTAAATTTGGTGATATGTTGAAAATGTAACGCTTAATACAGATTAAAACATAACTACAAAGGCAGAAAGAGATTACTAAGTTAAGATGAAATTCACCTTATGCAAAGATGTGCTATGAAATAAGATGTCCACTTTATATATATTATTAATTACATTCTGTGCTCATAAGCTGATTCATAATCTACAAAGCAATTCAATTTGTTTTCTGTAGCTGCAAAAGTGAATCAAATTATAGTACATATATGACACAAAATATAGCACATAGGTGCACGTGCAAGAAACCAGGTGAAGACTGTCAACAACACAGTCTGTGACTTACATTTTGCTGCATTCCTGTATCTGCTAAATGTAATGATTCTATCATAATGAAGAAATTTTCTTTCATATAACCGGGATTCTGTATGTTGACGTACAGCAGTCATCCCACCACCACACAGCCACGAAGAAAAGCATGCCAAACACAAAAGAACCACAACATGGTAAAACTAATACCAACAAGTAATGTGTCACAAACATCACCACCATGAACAGATAAAGTTAAGCAAAACATACACCTCAACTGCAGTAGATGTTTCAAAATTATCATCACATTTATCACATGATAAATGAAAGCAGTCAACTCACAGCTTTTATTGCAGGATATAAAAATAATACTCTTCGCAATGATCATTTGACATGGAAATCACACACGATTGTACAACACAAAGCTTATTCATTACAGCTATAAAACAGTTTACACATCATTTAACCTATACCTCATTTATACACAAGCTAGGTTCAATGAGACATAAGTACAGTGTTGAACAGCTATAACAGTTATCTGTCCATGGTTTACAAATAACAAACAATTATTACAAAAAAATATGGGCACATCAGTGGTAATATTAGTTACAATTAATTATTAGATATTCAGTTTATCAACAGATAACTAATTATGCCACTCAGGTGCCCAAGCACATAAAATTCCTCTTCCCACACCACCAGGTACCCGTACAACCTGTACAGAAAAGCAATAATTATAATGTCCCTACACCATATGACTCACATTATCCTGCTGTCCATTGTCAGCCACATGGAGTGACTCTATGACCAAAACAAATTTCTCCTTCATATACGGATTCTGCAATACAAAACATGTTTATATTTAACTCCAATATGAAAAAGCATAGACAAATTTCTACGCTGTAAGTTCCCAAAGTTTTCATTAATTATGAATTAAATGTCCTGAAAGTAAAAAATACAAAACACAAATATGGTCATATTTAACTTTTGCCACATTTGGATGTCAATTCTGTGCAAAAAAATATGCAATTTAAAATGCAGTGCTTGGTAATTTTTATTAAGAACAGAAGTTAAAGGAACTGAATTCCTTCTGTAAATGTGTTTCATTACTGTGCTGAAATGAAATTTTTCATTTTTGATTTACTCTGTCCATTCTTAGATTAAAAATCTTGCCTCATTACTGTTCGAATGGAGAAAAATAATTTACGAGCTTCAACATGTAATCTACTCTAAATCTTAGGATTACAATGCTAAGACCTTGTTAGCACTGTACAAAATCTTATAAATGACTGCGCCAATATGTTTTTGCAACAGTCGGAAACATTGGTGGGTTGGCTTTTGCCAAAAAACAGACTTGACTACACAGTTTAGCAGTTTTGTGCCAAACATTCATTAAATTCAGTGTACATATGGCTGTCTTCTGAGCTGTTGCACCATGCAGGCTTTAGAAGTCTATCAGTGTTTCAGAAGTGCTTGCCTATATAATGTATGTAGCAAGCACCTCTGAAGTGTAAGTAAACTTCTACCAGGCTACATGGTGCAACAAGACAGCCATCTTGATATGTGACGAAATTCAATACGTTTAGTGGCTGCATTGCCACTGACATTTACAAAATGTTGCAGCAAATTCCTGGAAAAAAATCTATGAAATGAACACAAATGTCTGTAAGGGATGAAGTAGTACCAAAAACAAGAGAGCTGGCCATCTGGCAAGAACTAATTTAAATGTGGAGAAAGTATGTCAAATGTTGATCATCAACATGTGATTACTAAGAAGACAGCAGAAAAAAAGGAATGACAATTTATAAGGTTAGTTTTGACAAAGATCTGTATACGAAGTAAATCTGTGCCACAATGGTACCACGAAATCTCAGCAGCACGGAAAACAATGAGAAAATAAATTTGCTCAGCCAGTTCAGTAACATCTGGAAATAACCCATGTTTGGAGAAGACATAACCGGTGATGAACTTCGGTTGTCCAGGTATGACAGGAAAAAAACACACCAAAATCTCCAATGCAAAAGTAAAAAAACAAAATCCACACACACAAGAACTCACAGAAATAATTCATCTTGGAATTGTCCCATATATCCATTAAGCAACATTGTGAGAACAAGAAATTTATTTAGTTGGTGTGGAGACTTTAACCAAGACAATGGGGAACATTTTCAGAATCACCTGCAATGTACATAAGTAAACTTCAGTCCATGGTTTTGCTACAGACTATCACTGCAGGTGATCAACCAGGAGAGGTGGAACTAATACAAAGTTTGCAGACAGCAGAAGGCCTGTGTCCCAAAATAGAAACCAAAACATCTCTCTGCAATTTGTTAAATGTACCATATCAAACTAATTTATAAATCTTAATGAAATTGAGACCTTTTATGTCACGCAACCATTATTTTCCTGTTTTTTCAGGAATATAAGTTAAATTTGAGATTAATGAAATGAGGTCAGATACTGGGGTGATATGGGCCAAAATAATACAACACTTCATAAAATTTCTTTTCGATAGCAGACCCTTTTTTCAAAATGTAAAATGTACATTTCAACATAAATTACCTTAAGATTGCTGTATTATGGGTTGTTGCGCCATGTAGTCTGGTAGAAGTTTACAGACGTTTCAGAGGTACTTGCTGCCTCTGAAACATCGGTAAACTTCTACCAGACTACACAGTGCAACAACCCACAATACAGTAATCTTCAAACTCACCACCATGAAAACCTCAAATCCTACATATACTACCTTCTTATACAAAACACGTAAAAAATGTGTATTAAAAGGCATTCTAGAGACTTAAAAACCATGGTGGCAGCTCTATGGATCAATATTTTCATAGCTGGCAGACATTTTTGAAACCATGTTTCTGTACTCATTCCTCGCCTTATCTTCCCAGCCTTGTTGCATGCAGACAACTCCCACCTACATACAATATTGACAACCACTCACCGATATAACTGTTTTACAATAGGGGTATGCATTCCACGCCTCCTCATGCACTTCTAGAGAGCCTCTTGGGGCAAGTAGCCTTATGAATGATGGAACTTTACTGTCAACAAAAAGAATTTCAACATTAGTGTCAATTGAAGAAGGTTGTTTTAGACTGCGGTCTTCACCATTGTGACAACGTAGTCTTTCCTACAATGGGTAACATCAACAAGGCAGATGAGCAAACTTATAATGTTTGAACAAAAGTCACTTGCAATAGGGTTTAAACAAAAGAACTTTATGACTTTACCAGGATTCAATCCCATGACTCCAAGCATACAAGTCCAGAGCGTTACCACATATACATGACAACAGTTGGGTCGGCTTGGTCTCAAAATAATATGCATTCACATATACAGACTGGGAAAGTTATTTTACTTGTCACAATAATTACTCATCACTCCAGGTAAACTGAATTCATGGCTGGGTCAGTCATCTAACATACACATAACAATCAAGCATGTACGATGTCAGCATTCTGAAAAACACCCACTTGGGTAAAGCAACTTCCAATATCCAGACAGCGTAGTTTCCTGTATCACAAGTTCAAAACTAGGTCATGACCTACTTTCTGTCTCCTCCCACATTCAATACTGCTTTGCAGGTTTTAGTATTACAAAAAAACTGAAAGACAGGGGTAGAATGCTGCTGACTCTACTACATAACACAAAGAGTTGATGTGTCAGCTGGGATAGTTAATTAATACCTCCATTAATTACAATACATATCAGTATATAAATAATTTGCTCTTAAAAAAATTAAACTGGAGTCTTATCCTGGAGGTAGGATAACGATCATCTTCTTTCCTTGATTGTGTGTTCTGAGGTTCAAAAGTTAATGTCTTCCCATCTACTCCTAGGTCATCCTATATCCCCTCTTCCTCTGGGAACATATATGCAAATCCTTTTAAGAATTGCATCCTTGTAGTCTGTCTGCATATCATTACCAATTTAAGTGATTATTCCATATGTGGTCAAACACAATATGTTTGCATTTGCATTGTTTATCATGTCTTCATTGGATAATAAATGTTACTCTGGAAAAAGATTTATAGATGGTCCCTAAACGGTACAGACAAATCATCAACGCATAGTTCACATACGATATTTATTATTGTCAATATTCAATTTAAGCTGTGACTTTCCATGGCTAAGAGCTTGTATGTTAAGATCTGTTGATAGATAGTTATTTAACATGCAAACAAAGTTTGTTAAGAAACATTTAAATAATGAAGTTAAAATCAAAATTAAGATCAAAGAGTCAGGAAAAATAACTTGGTACGGAAGCACCTGAGATTTTGTTTCTCTGCAAAATACAACCAGTGTCTTCTATTTTCTGAGGTTCTGAAAAAAACAACTGTGCATTCTGAAATGTTTTCTAACTCGTTTCCCACCTCTGACTGATCTTGTTAAGTGGGTCCAATGCTTGGACATTATTAATATAATAATAAACCTCCACATTCCACAAAAAGCAGAAAATGTCAACAGCTAAGCAACCTTCAGCTTCTCAAAAAGGTCCTTGCTCCATAAAGTTGATTAGATAAGAGACATATTAGTCAAATCCAATTCTGCAACATTAACTTAAATCACTCCCAATTACAGTTCACGAAAATAAATGTTTTCATTACGTTGGCAATCAATCCAAGCTGATACATTCTGGCACATGGGAAGTGCCTGTAAGAAATAAAACAGTAATTTCCAATAACTATGTAAAGTTATGCCGGTTGTTGACCTGCTTGCATGCATCCATTGTTCAGTATCTATTCCGTACTAGATCAGGTGACTAAAACGAGGAAACAGAGAGAGAGAGAATGTCATTCTCTCTCTCTCTGTCTGAGTTTGGGGAGAACAAATCAATACCTAACATCAAATGCAGAGCTGGGAAGGCTAGAGGTCTGACCAACACCACTAGAGCACAGACGAGAAACCAGGTCAAACACTATAATTTTCCAAAACCAGACAGAGCAATAGGTCACCTACAAATCACTATGCCACAGGAAATTTAAAATACATTCGATAACTGCATTTAGTCCTTATTTTCGTGAAACAAGAATATTACGTACTTTGATAACTTAAAATCAATATGAGCTCACTGTATGTCCCCTTCGGTAGTCTGAAGTAATTTAACCAACGGCTTGCATAAAAATGCACAATATTCTGCAAAACCCACTTCTTGTCCTACTTATAGCATATTCACATTACTTCCAACATGTTATAATACCTAATTTAATTCAAACATCTCAAGTAGAATGTATAAATTGACAGTTATTTAAATCTGATCTTTGTACATTATTTCCAATAGTAGAACCTTCCAAATATAACACTGAAAGGTTTTCACTGGCATTATATTTATAATTTTTACTATGCAAACAACTGTTTCATGTGAAAGTTTGTAGGTGTAAAAAAACCTATCACATTGCAAATTTCACATGCTTTCTTTCAACAAATCATTACTTGTTAATTAATTACATATATATTTTTACCCAACAGCTATACTGTTATTTCTCAATTCACAAAAAAAATAATCTAAGAACTAATGCTATTAAAATTATTTAGAACTGTTTATCATGCTCCCATGTTGATATTAAAGATTATACAAATGTGATGTGGTCCCCAACATCACAATATTTTATTTAGATTTTCAACTGGTATGGACTGGACCGGTGTTCAATCGCCGACAGAGGCAGGTTTTTCCTCTAGCCTCTGCGGCCAGAATGGCTCTGGAAACCTGCCAGCCTCCTATACAATGGGTACCAGGTACTTTTCTGGGAGTAAAGTGCAGCCAGGGCATGACTGACTATGCACTCATATCTAGAACCAAGGTTAAGAATGAGTAGGAGCTATACCACCTCTCCCCACCAAGCACCTACATGGCATATAGTGGGACAGCTTTATCTTAATTTATTTTACTAAATCTAGCAGCTTGTTAAAACTTTAATAGCGAGGCTCAAGCACACATGTACGTAAAAACAAACATATTAACAAAAAGCACCCCTTCTGAAAAGTATCACAAGTTCTAACATTGCACAGGTTACAACATAAAATTCACTAAATTTCAAACTGAGCTGCAAGGAATGTACAAAGAATCTTATAACAACCACTAATTATGTTTTCAGTTTCCTGAAACGTCACAAAAAAGTTACTTGCAGAACAAATATATTTTGCAAAAATGCTAATGTATCTTTAAATTTATAATAAATAAATATGTAACTTTATTACATAACCTGAAGTAAACAAATAAATTCTGCACTGGTACCACTCACATCTCAGAAATTCACACAGTATTTTGTGTGGAAGGAATTTAAAGAATATAGGACAGCCTCTAGAGGCATGGTGTTCTTATGCAGTTTCATGGACATTTACAAATTGGTTCACAATTTATTGAACCTGACAGACATATGGACATCTCTTTTTATTTATAAAATATGTAAAATGGGCTAAATAGAAATATATTAAAATGGGCCACTCTTTATTTATGGCCAGACCAGAACACTCAAGGATAATCTTATCATAATATTACTTCGCATGTCTTAATGCTTGTATGATGAAAAGCAACCGAAATCAAATTACATAAGTTCATGTCCTTGCTATCACAACATTTATAATAGTACTTTAGTGTTATGTAAATCCAACTGCAGTCCACTGCTTTAAATTATAATTCTGTACTTACGTAAGCTACAGTCCTTGAAACATTAAGGCTGCCACTCTGACCAATAACATGTATTTCTCAACACAATTTTTTGCATTGCCAATGTTTTCTGGCTTTCTACACTCCAGGACTTATTTGGTATATGTAAATTCATAGCAATAACAAGAATATGAATATTAATAAAATGAAACATAAGACAAATGAATAGATGATAAGTCATTGTAGCAAACACAAGAATAGGTTCATGAATGTTTCTATAAACTGTGGTTACATAACACAACCTCCCATATATTTGCCAACTAAGCAATGATCACTTAAAATTGACTTAGACAAAACTGTTTCTGGAGGAATAGATACTTATTCTTTACTTTTAAGTTAGAATCTAATTAATAAAGACCAGAGCCGGTCTGGACGCAGAGGCTAGAGGAAAAATCCTCTGCCCCCCATCGGGGATCGAACCCCGGCCGTCCAGCCCATAGCTAGTGACTATACTGACTGAGCTATCCCGGCTCATTATTATTATTATTATGGTACATTTATATATTTAATTTCATTTGTTTGTTTGTTTTTGTATTTGTAATGTTTTACTTTTATTATTATTGAAATGAATTTAATTATTTATTATATTTTATCCTGTACTCAGCTGGTTCAGCGCTTGGCTGTTATTGGCCTTAATGGCTGTTGTCAACAACTTAAATAAATGAATTGAATTCATAAATTGCTTTCTGGCAGCAAAAGACTATAAAAGACAAGCACTAGAATATAAAAACTAAAGTAAACAACTTTTAAAAGCATTTAAATTATGATGATGATGTAGGTGGTGGTGATGATACCTAATCAAGATCATGTCATGAAAGTATGTCCTCCAGGGAAACAAAGTTACCACTAAAAATTTCAACTATTTTCAGTGTTGGCAAACCTAAGTAAAGAGCTAAACCCCAAAACTTTGCTTGCAGTAAAAGAATATAAAGCTCTTAATTAGTTTTGTAGACGGAGTGACAAGTGACTTACCCTTGAAATATTGATTAGAAATACAGCACCAAGATGCCCATGATGAAGAAGATGACAATGATGATAATCTGCTAAGAAATGAACACTGGAAGATGAAAGTGTCATCCAGCTTGTTGTTTACAATCCTTCTTCCCACTTTCTTGAAAAAACTACTCTAAAGGGCAGGTAGACTTCAACGGTGGCAATGGAGACAGCAGCAAAGCATTTTGCCCTACATCATTAGCTCATTCTGTTTATTATACTGTTAGTCTGAGATTCACAAACTGTACTAGAAATAACAAAAATGTAATACTATATTTCCTAAAATTTTTAAGACACTTTTTCATATTTCAAATTTCTTAAATCAGGGCTCGTCTTACATTTGATTGCATCTAAGAATCATCGAGTTTTTTATGTTCAATATTTACAATTCCTACTGTAACATACACATTTTCCCCTGAAAACCCATGACTGAATCAATGGTGCTCCTCACAATCAATGACATCTTAAAATAAATAAAATATGGTACACAGGTAAACAGAGATTGCAAATAAATAAATGTCTGAATTTTGTCTTCAATTCCCAGACTGTAATTAGAACAACTAGATAGACGTCTGTCATACAGACCATTTGGAACATGGGCAATTCTTTTAGGTGTGAAAAAATGGTAACTGATTTACTGATGCTTCTAACTCAACACTTGAGATATGACATTTCTACCACAGAGACAGCTCATAATTTCATCTGTGCATATGTGCAGCAGCAGTGTCAGCTGAGGCTGGTTTACAAGAAACACATCTGAGAGTACACACATAAAACAGATATTTCTTAATTTTTTTATGCTCTACCAACCACATAGATATGGTTGCCTGTGAAGGGTTGGAATGAAGAAGAAAAAAAATGAACCAATTACATCAGGGGTTTTCACCTTGTTGCACACCAATGTGTTTGGTGAAGCCCACATACTTTTTATAATACTGTGTCACCTTATATGAGGATAAGTGTTACCTGATATCAGAAACCATATTTTGCTAATGTCTTCAGTATCTAGTAATAACTATCTCTGTAAGCAAACATCCACCTGAATTAAGAATGTCATATCAATTAAGACATGTTATACTGATAAACACTGGATGTACATCCAGTTTTGCAAGAAGACAAAATCTATGTAGGATTTGAGGTTTTAACAAGGTCTGATATTGGTAGATTACAGAAGCAAAACTGTTTCAAGTTTTTCGCTAAATGCTGATGTGAAGAAAACTGAGCAAAATATGAACCTGTTTGCAATAAGAGACCTAACTTAGAAGGCTTTTCTTAATAAACTGCAATGGTGTTTCAATAAATTATCTTCATTTATAACTTTACAGCGCAGAAGTCAACAAACGGTGAATGTGGCTTCGGTCCCAAAATACGCTAAGAACCCAAGAACTACATCTATAATGAAAGGCAAATTCCTTACCACAAAGTAATATCGTCTTGTTTACTAACATGTAACAGGAATCTCTTGCATCCTAGTACTGTTAGACCATTACCAACTAACTCCTTGGAGCATAACTTCCTTAAGAAGCTAATACTCACTCAGCTACTCATGAATATCCTCACTATTAATAGAGCCCAAATATTCAATACCGTGCTCATACAGCTGGCCACTTGTCCTTGATTTAATCATCCTAACAATGGTGAAGCGTACAAATTATGAAGCTCCTCATTTTCCTCTTCACCCTATTCTCACATACCTTCAAACAAAGTTCTTCCCCTAATGTGAGACACCAAACCAAGTCAGTACTTGAATGATAAAATAACAAAGAGAATCGCTGTTCTTGTACAGCAAGAATTATCGCAGCATCTGTCAGGGCAGCTGGCACCAACCAACATACAAACTTGGTACCTCCACATGCAAGGCAAACCCTAATGGACTCTAGTGTAATGGCTAGTGTCATCCCTACCAGAGAATTACCAGTATATGACCCCATCCCCAAATACTGTAACTATTAAATACACCTCAGGTGACAACAGCTTTCAGACATCAACACAACAACGACACATTTTTATTTAAATTATGGTAATAAAACATTCATAGTACATATTTTGGAAAAGTTTCCATCAACAGGTACACAGATATGAATCCATAATTTAAGTAAACAATTTATTCAGTTGTGTTGAAGCTATTAAATAACCTGTTGCTTAATACACACATCAGGATGCCATCAATTAAGATTACAGATCAGATGATTAATTTATATATTTAATGATAACTTATCATCTGACTTGACTTGCAGAACTAATACCAATGATAAATAAGTATTAAGAGTCTGTCTGAACAAAAGATTAGATAAAGGACAGCATCCTCAATAGAAAACATCTCAACAAGCAAACATCACAAATCCCGCACCTGAAATTGATCTTTGCAGATATATACACATACCCCAGCCTATGGACAAAACCCAACATAATTTGAAATCTAGAATATATGCAAGAAAATTACTGCCAACAGATTGAAACTGGAGTTTACTTTGTCCAAATACTGTGCACTGCTGTGTATGTGTTTAACAAAAGCTAGTATCATTCCAAATAAAACAATTTCCTTCTTTACAGTGCTCAGACAATTTAAAAATATATGTGTAGCAACAAAGTGGAAGAGCTTGAGTATCATTCTGAAGCACACATTTCCCAAATGTTTCCATATCATAACTATTCATCTCAGTACAAGATGCAGAATCTTGATAATTATTTAGTGCCAATACAAATCTATTAAAAAGTATAATCCATACATGCAGAACTCTGATGATGGGGACAGAGATGGTCCCTGAAACGTCAGTTTCGTCTTTTAACCATCTGACGCGGCTGATGGCCCAAGAAGATTTTACTGGCCATACATGCATAATTTTTTTCTTGTATTCTGTTAAAAAAATATGCTACCACATTTAATAAATAAATAAATGTAAATAAATCACACAAAAGAAGGAAAAAACAAATCTTAGTTAAACGAGATTGTGTTCTTTTCACAAATCTTCCCAAAGTCAAGTAACAAGCTATGACATTAAAACAACTGCTACGCTGCATACATACATAATATAATATCAACTCTTAACCTCTTAAATGTTGATAATAAAAGCATAGAAGTGAAGCAACTGTATGACTATTTTTATTTATTTGTAGTGTTCTGTCTGACGACAGGTCCATATATTATGAAAAGGATCCTTCCAACCTCTTCAGGTTGTCAGGGACCTGCTCATACATATATACATTCTTGGCAGAGATGATCAGAAGTGGTTTGCCATTGCCTTCTTCTGTGTGTGAGGGGAGTAATTGTTGGGATGCCACGGAGAAACCGGGGAAGCCCCCGGAGGAAAACTCTGTGATGCCTAGACCACGGCCTTGTCCAACACAAGTTATAAATTTGAGCACCACCGGGAATTGAACCCGGGACCCCAGGCTTACAAGGCTAGTGTTCTGACCGCTAGACCACCGCGGCGAACAACTGTATGACTACAGTCTTTATTTGTTATCAATGTCTGAAGTCCAACATTTCTGCTACAGAAGCTTAAAAAACTTTATGAAAGACTCAGGAGTAGATACTTACCTATTAAACACTACTTAGTGCAGCCTAAATTTGATGGAATAGAACCAAGGCCAAGAATCAGAATGAAAATATTTAGACTATAGAGTATTAAGTATATAGGTTTCTTTTATGGGTTTAAAATATTTAGGAAATAATACCATTACAATTTCAGAACAACTTATAAGAACTGCATTACTAACCAGATAAACATCTGGATAGAAAGTATCTGTAACTGAATCTACATATTACATTAATAAAGGAATTTTATGCCCAAGAAATAACGATTTCCATCGCATCATTGAAGTAATTTTCAACAGTCTTGCCAAACAATAACCTCACATAATTCACATCTAAATACAATAGACAATCACAGAATGCAAATAAAATACTAAAATGAAAGAATATTCATTCATCCATCCATGGCCTACTATGTCCATATGCTTCTATACAACAAAGTAAAACGAACTTTTACACATCAATGTTTGACAATGGTTACCCAAAATAGCATAATTTTGCAGTTTCATAAGTCTGACTGTAATGGTTTTATTTTTCCAGATATTAGGGCAACATCAGCTTCCAAATGAGTGGCTGTACACCCCCATAAGCCCTTCTGTTCATTCACAATTTCCACTGCCTTACAGAATTTTATATATAGATATTCAGTCTCAAACTCCAAGAAAATGCATTGAACTCCACTACAAAGATCAGTCAGTTAAATATATATGAAAATAATTGCTGATTATTATCAGAAATAATTTAACCCATAAACACATTCTGTGGCCAAAATTCCAATTTTTAATGTAACTACATAGTGAGAGCATTAACCAAAATCCATCTGAAGATAATAAGTATAAACATAAAACCACTCACACTAGGAAAACCAATCTTAGTGACCTAACATGTCCTCTAATGTACAAAAGAATAATACCATGTGATGTTATTTAACAGCATTTACTAACACCCACATATGTCGCTGCCTATTTAAAGTATTATGAAAGATGGAACAGGTAGTTTCATGCAGTAAGTGCTAAATTGTGCAGCCATTTTCCACATATCCACAAACTCTTTATCCTGACAAGAGTTATATTTCATATAGTCACACAGAGTTCATTTTGGTTTCAGCCACGCTCATGTGAAAACCCACAGTAAAACAGTCAATGGAAAAAAAAAAACCTCAATCCATAAAAGCACCCCATTCTCTTCTATAAACATAATTTAGTACCTCACCTTGCAAGGTGGTAAATCTTGTAAGTGTACTGTCCCTTCCGATATTTTCCTCCCAAAAGTGGGTGGTCTTCAAATGGTTCATTCTTGAGCACCTCAATTCCTTCGCCACCTCCTGTCTCATTCTTACTTGCTTCTGCTACTGAGTACAACTGTGCTACTTGATACTGTCAACAGGAAAAAAAAATATATATAATTTTTTTAAACAAAAACCTAAGCCACACTTCCAAGCAAAACAGACTTTTACACACATGCATTATGTTCAAGTAGCATGATCTCTCTTTTAACTAGAGATCTTCTAACTAGAAATCTGCTTCATATTAAATATTATTTAAACCATAATTTGGTTTTAGTCATGTCAATAACATATATTCAAATTATGATGGGTTGAAACATGCAATCTGGTAGATGTTTACTGGTAAATTTCCACCAGACTACATAGAACTACAACCCAGAAGTCAATCATCTTCAACCCAAAATAATATTTATGTGATTCTGGATCCAGTTTACTGTCTTCTGTCAAACATATAATATCTCACAATTATACTAATGTTAGCAAGTTTATACAATTCAGGGGTAGACTTTTTTTTGACCCCCACTAATACAAGTTGTTATTGTTCCTACCAATTTGTGAATTACAATGTATTTTATCAGTCAACATGCTACTAAAAAAACCACCACATTCTTGGCACTGTTTACTCCTTCAATTATTTAACAATAATGCTCCTATTATAGATATGATGCTGAAACATGCCATATTTTACCCTTATTCAGCCATCTTCATGTAACTTCAACCTTAACTAAACTATTACAGTAGCATGCAATATGGAGTAATTTCTAAAACTTAAAATTCACAAATACAGAATGTTTAAAAACCTTTAACTTTTATAACTATTAAGATGTCAAGAGTAAAATGGTGTATAAAAATATACCAATAAAATCTTTGGTTAAATTAAATTGAGATTGTTGGCTTTCAGCAAACAATATGAAAATTCCTCCCCTTCCTAAAACCTAAAATTAGTTCATACCTTCCTCATTTTAAATGTATATAATCAAACTGCACTACGTACTTTCTTTTCAATCTGCAATACAAATGCAGGTTGTGTATGTTTAGTTTCTTTTACATGGGATACTAGACTTTACTTTGGCTTCACCAGGGGTACCAGGCACAAAAATTTTGAGAACCCCTGCACCAAGGAATTACAGGATTAGAATCCAATTTTGCCACCTTTCCTCTCCATTTCCCACACAATCATCTTCGGCAATTTATCCATTCACACTTCTGAATCAAAAATAGTGATTATGACTGTTGTAATGTTACAACTGAATGTCCTATACCATTAACATGGGCACTTAGGTTGTATGTAAGGGACATACTGAACCTGCAGCCACTCAACTATTCCCCTAGATAGCAATACTAATACCTGAACTACAAACTTAAAATAAATTTAAATTCAGAAATTCACAAACCCCTTTGCTTTTCCTTTAAATCAATGATCATAACAGTGCATATGATAAATATGCAACTGTAAACAAATACGTGAAATTAAAAATAATTATACCAAGACTAAAAGCTATATAAAATATAAACTTACCTCCTCCACAGTGAGGGGTAGTGTGACTCGGCTGAAAAGAAAAGAAATTAAAATTTAACAAACAAGGAGAAATTAAAATTTAACACACAAAGTAAAGTGACCAAAGTTCTGGTAAAACCTTCATCACTGCATGCATGACAATTGTCAAAACGAATAAAATCTATTACAGACTCAACAATTTAAATAGCAAGTACACAAGTAAATATATAATTTAAATCAGTATCTGCGACGTATTAACTGTAGTATTAAGTGAAACAGTAATTTTCTTAATTTTGTCGCAAATAATGCAAGTTAATTAGCCTTCCTTTTGGCAATGTAGTCCGGCTACTACATAACTTGTCATTCTAATTCTATATCTTAATTAATTTGTGTATTTTCTACTGGCAACACAAGTGTATAACTTCATTTCAATTTTAAACACGCTTTAGATTTAAATTTAATTGAACATACTTACTATTCCTTAATCAACATCCTCAAATTATTTACACATGGGTCGGACAGACAACCAAGCCTCGGCCTGCAAAACGTCGGTTAAGCTTGATAAGTGTTACCACTCACATCACCGCCATTATCAAACGTTACATCTACAATGTAGCCTCCATCCTAAATTGACAGCCACAATTTGTTAAGAGATGCGACTAGGAAAATTACAAAATACGTTAACTTCAGTCGATATTTAAGGCAACTTTAACTGTTAACAAAAAAGAATATACTCATTTAGCCAATCATAAGTTGGCAACAAGCAGGTAGGATTAGTAATTCGTATCTGGAAGTACAGATGGCCGCAAATATTAGTAAGCCTTCAATGACGTAATATTTGCGTCATACCGGATATGACATACATCAAACGTAATCAGTGATCAGTCGTCATTGAGTGTAGCATTATAACATGGTGTGCCCCGGTAATCAGAGTTCATATTGCCAGCTTTTATATAATTGAGGAAGGTCGATAAGAATTTCAGGGTGTTGATGTAAGTTAAACACCTCTGAAACATGCTGAAGTTTGCGCACAAACCGCATAACTTATTCACTGCGTGCTAGACAACATATCAAAGACGCAATCGAGAATAAATTATTTTAGTTACGAAAACATTTCTGGTGGTTAAGGAAAGTAAGACACTGAAACTGTTTTTATATCAACAAGGTTATTTCCCCGTTTTGTTCTGATCCCATCGCACAATCGCTTTATATTTTTAGCAACATTAATCCCTCAGTAAAGTTCTGCTCTGGATAAGTTATGTGCCGAAAGTTGGAAAATTGTATATTTACAATTCGATCCGTGTTTCTTGAGACATTTCGCCCACTTTGTAACTAATAATTGATAATTACCCATGTCTACTGATTGGGGGGTTAGCTCTTTATAACAAACCCAACTGAGTAGCAACTTCCCACCTTTTCACTTGAGGACAGAAGTAAATTCATTTCCCAGAATGTTTTCAGAATACCAGATGATAGACTTTGTCAAGAAATCCAGTAATAGTAATTATTCAATAGTGTACAAATCCTGATACTGTTCCAAGTCTGAACTCTGATAATTTTTCACTCCAAATTAAAATTATTACAATGACCATTAAGATAACTAAACATACACACATTTACTGTTTGCTTTTTTAAAATTGCTGGCACATGAAGATGTACTATCATTGTAAAAATTTACAAGATTACCTACACATCCAATGGTTCATACTTATATAAAGTATATTTGCTAACATTTATGGTAGGAAAGAAAGTTGACAGTGGAACCACGGTTCCGGAGAATCTGACGTAAATACGACTCTGTAATGTAATGTAATAATTCTTACATCAGAAAGTACTTGTGATATTCTAATATGTTTTTACGAAGCACTTCTTCTACAAGCGATTCACAGCTCAGCTCTTTCCGCGATAACGAAAGCGGATTGTTGATGGCAATAATGTAACACAATGCTAAGTAAACAGATATGTAACAACTAGTTTCTTAGGTAACATAACCATTGCTGTCGGTCCATATTTACACATTGTTGATATGGATCTTACACATCTTCGTTACTATTTTTTGCTGAATGACCCTTCCATATAGACATATTTACGTCAAAAATCATAAGTGATATGTAACTAAGTTTATAAATTGTTACTCATGCTGTGTTAGAGGAAGTTGGAGATTAAAATCATGTTTGGAAAACAGGTTCATCTATCATGGGATACACACAGCATTTACATATCTGGTTTATAAGGTGTAAGAGATGGGGCTATGCCATAGCTCAGTTAGTTGCTATATTCTCATTGTGGATATGCAGGCTTAGGGCAGTCACATAGGGTTTTTGATGGACAAAATAGCACTGGGACAAGATTTTCTCCAAGCCCTTCAGTTTTCCCCTGTTGGTATCATTGCACATCTGGTCCATATTCACTCAAATTCCTGGGGGATGGACAATTGGCCCATTACCAGTCCATTTCCACAGAGGCATAGTCTCAGTCCACCTCAACATTAAAGTGTTTTAAGATGAATAAAATATTAATAATTCCAGTCACAGTGTTTTCCTTGACAGGTAGAAAGAAATTATGAAAGACCTATTAGCAGGTGATTACACAAAGATCTGAACCATATACTCTCAAAATCAAGCCATTTTAAGATGTTACCACTTCAGCTAACTTGTTAACTATTTACTTGTAATTTATTTAACACAGCCGTCAGTAACTCACATGAAAGGATGACTAATGAACATTGAATTGGAAGGATATGGAAGGTAGCAGTCAAGGCCTAATTTAAGGCACTGTCATGGCATTTTCTTGGAGATAATGATGAAAACTACGACAAACCTCAGTAAGGATAGCAAGTGTCTGGGTTAAGGCTAACTTGTTTTATCGTGTACATATTGCAGTCTCATTACATATTCAATTATTCTGTTCAACTCATGTTCGACAAAGTACACATAATTAGGGGTATACCACAAAGTAATAACCCCCAATTCAAAAGTCAACAAAGAGACTGGCTATCCTGAACTTTGCAAGGTTTTCTTCTGTACCTACAGGTGAAAGATCAGCTGGAACCTTCAAATATGCTACAACCACTCTAGTAAACCAATATATATATCTGATACTGCATTGTTACCCAGATACAAGATTGGAACAACTGATCATACATTATGATAAACCACTCCTGAGCACAATCAATACACATAAATGTTGCTCTGTAACTATATATATATATATATATATATATATATATATATATATATATGCAGTATTTCAGTAAAATATTGGACACATCACATTAAAAGTGAAAATTACAGTACTGCTTCAAAATATTCTGATGAAAATAAAATGGCACGTGGTACAAACTGCTATGCAAATATTCAACATATTTCTTTTATACACTTGAATTAGTATTTTACACTCATAACTTGCAGGGGAAAGTCCATACAAAATAATACTATTACAATTTAATATTTTACACATGGGAATGTACTTTATGTTTTTCAAACTTCTATTATTTAACAGATCTAGAACTTTCTAAACATGAAGAATTGCATCGTATGACTGGAAAACACCTGGTGCCACATCCAGGGCTCTGGACTTCAAAGACAGCTACAAAAGAACATATCAGTATATTATGTTATACCCATTTTCATAATCTTAGGCTGCTTCAAATAATTTAACACTTAAAAACTTATATATAATTACAAATGGGGGAGGTCACAGGCCAAAGCACCATAGATGATGATGATAATTACAAATGAATTAAAACCATAACATTTGTACTAATACACGTTTCCTGGCAAGAGAATAACATGCATATCATAAATTAAGATTAAATCATAACAAGGTCATCTACAAGCAAGTTACAGTCAGCTGTACAACTAGTTTATAAACTGAAAGGGCCTTCAGATTTTTAAATCCATTCCAAAGTGTGACTTGGACACACAAGCAATGGCAACTGAAAATACAAATTTTGTCAAGTTTGGACTCATGCTCAAAATACTACTTTTCAAACTCCATTCAACAAATTTTATCCCGTAAGATTTGAGGTTTTCACAGCGGTGAGTATGAAGATTTCTGTCTTCTGGGTTGTTGCGGTGTGTAGTCTGGTCGATGGTTACCAACGTTTCAGAGGTCATACTGCCTCCGTCATCATCACCCTGATGACGGAGGCAGTATGACCTCCGAAACGTTGGTGGACATCGACCAGACTACACAGCGCAACAACCCAGAAGACAGAAATCTTCAAATTTTATCCCACTGGAGTCATACACAGGAAGAACATTTTTATTTTTATGATGACAAAATAAGTAACTCTATGGATAAAGCATGGATTAGCCACAAAGAGAAAAATGTAACTAAAATGAGGACAGAAAATGACATAGAAGCCTCTTGAAAAGTAGCTATTCAGAAGACCGAGGAATTGGAACATGATATCAAGATCAATCTTGGGGGGAAAAGAAAAAATTATGAGGACAGAGGTAGACGAATCTGGCTCAGGGTTATGTCCAAAAGCAAATATTGGTAATTAGGAGTGTTGAACCTTTTGGGTTCTGCTACCATAGATACTTTTGCTTCACTGTGTTACATAAAATGATAAAGTGGTATGAGACTCAACACATGAATAATTCAGATGTTTTTACAATGACGTGTTCTTAAACAAGTTTTTCCAGACTGGATACTAAAAAAACTAGACATGTTGCATACAAACAAGTATATTAATTTTTTTCACCTTGTAATCTGAAAGTTCCTAAACTCTGCAGTCAGCACATACAAGACTGTCAACTTACCGTAATATTTGGATTGCCAGGCTGAATTTTTAGTTCGTTTAGAACCCAGATTCCATTTGTTAGCTTCAGAGACTGGTACAGCATATCCTGGCCCTCTACATTACGTTTTGCGATTGTGAATACATTATTCTGTTGCATCTTCTGCACTACAGCATCTATTTGAAATAAGAAATCAATGAACAGTTAATAAATGTGGAGTTTGTATGTCTAGCAACAGAAAATACCAAACTACTCTGTACACAGTAAAAAAATAAATAAACTTGCAATAGAATTCCAAGATATCATAATTAATTATCCCAGGCTACATTTACAATCTCCAGGACCAAACTCCTACTGAATGTGTTTTGTCGCTTGACACACAGACTCATTTACACTTCACATTTGCAGAAACACAATTTTCCATATTCATAGACAAGAGGTTCACTTTTATATATAATAAATCACACTACTTGTACTCAAATTCATGGTCACTTTAAATAAATTAAACTCCTCCTCTTAAAATTATCCATTGTATGGACTCTTTCCGTTGGCTTGTTTAAAAGAACCACGATGTTTTGGAAACTGGCTCTGTCCAGTGATGGAGACTAGCTCTATCTGACAGACCCAACTGAGGTACCTCTCGCCTGAAGACGGAAACAACCAGTTTCCACCAGGGGTGATGGAAAAAGTTCAGACAATGAATAATTTTAAGTGTAATCCACCATCGTCAAAAGAACCCTTTAGAATTGAATTAAACTCTTGCCATTTCAGAATATTACTAATTCTTCAGAGTTTTATAGTAGCATATTACTGACTGATTTATATTGAGAACAATACCTGCACTGCATTGAATATTAGCCAATGTGTACTGAACTTCATTTTGTGCAGGAATATCCTTCCAAGTAGCTAGAAAAACTCGTTTGTCCATCTGCCCATCTTCAGTAAAGAAAACATTCATTGGGACTTGGCAAGCAAAGTAGAATACATCAATGTTGTTCTTGATAGCTACCTGTATTGAAAAAAGCGGCATACACTAAATAAACACTGTAATGTAAAACAATTCTAGAATATCTAGATCACAGTAATGGGAACAGAAGTTAATGCAATATAAGTTATTAAAATTTCTCACATTTTTAGCCTGTCTTCCTTTTTTAAGGAAAATATAAAATTTGTAATCACCATGTTGTCTACATGTCTGAACTCATTAGTCAGCCGAGAGATTTTCACAAATTTTGATGTGAATAAAGCAATGAATGAATTCAAGGCCAACAACTGTAAACATTTTTAATTTCCTTCAGCATGGCAAGTGAACAATCTTGTGAGGTAGAAGTGACACTGAGTCATGAAATTAAATATGGTAATATATCTTTTAAAGGTTTGCACCAATTATGAAACATTTTGTGCATGTGTGTGTCTGAAATTTAGAACAGCATTTTAATTTACCTTTCATTTTCACAGTGTATGAGTTCATACAACATCTGAATGGAGAATGAAGTTTTCCTGAGTTTCCACTTGTCTGCTGTTCTCCAAAACTAACAAAGATCAGTCCAAAAATTTCTGGGTCACATATTACACAATCTTTTTGTAAAATATTGTTTCCTTTTTTGGCTAGTTCAACAGTTTAATATTACCTTGGATCAGAAGTGTAATGGTGATACTGTATTTGGTTAATTAAGACTGGGAATGTGTACTTGGAAGAGTATACAAAAGTTCCACAGATGCGTGTTTTGCCAAAATCTATTTGCATAACATCAAATAGTTCACACTGCCACTGATAAATGGCAAAAGAAATGGTTCATATTCCTACTGACAGATGGAGAATGACGGGTAATGACATCACAGAAGATCTTTGTCCCACCTTGGAAGTTTGAGCATTTGTCACATTGGCATTATTGATTGTAGGAAATTAAAAAGTATTAATGTGGCGTAGTCTCCAATGGCATAATGCTGTAATACCTGGAGGTTGTTAAGAGGCTCCATACGTTGGATGGCACCTGTGGTTGCCAATGGCAATGAACATTCATGTGACATGCTAGGAAGCAGTGGCGTCATCACCTGCAAGGCGGAGTTAGGTGTCAGGCCAAAACTGAAATGAAACCATGCATAACATGAACTTTGCTTATTACAGAAGAGTTTAAAAAAGTGTGAAATATGTACAATGCAGATACTTACCTGTTCTTATTCAGCTGAATAGCAAACCCAGCCATTGCCTGCATGGCCTTGTTGGTGAATGTGAAGTCCATCTGAATCTGACCACTTCTGTGAATTTACGATCAACACAGATGTAAAAGTATCAATACAGTTTAGAAAGTAAGAGAACATGCATCAAAGTTAACCTACAGACATAATGTATTTTCTTATTTCTACATCAGAATTTCCACTGTTCTTTGCCTCTTAAATGAACATCATAATGGATTTTAAATGTTAGCTCCAAGTAAGGTGCAATGCGTACCTTCGCGAGAATGTTCCCCATACGTCTAGTCCTTTGCCTTTTTCAGCAGGTAGCCAATTAGACTTGGGAGGTGAGTATGATGTAGGAGTAGCTGAGAATCCAAAGATGTCTCCAAGAAGTCCTGTAGTTGACTGAGACACAGGGGCTGCCCCACCAGCTCCTGATGCAGCAACATCTCCACCAAGCTGTACGAAAATTTGTTTCACTCTTCCATTACAGATGCTACGACTCATTTACTCCTTATTTGTAAGGACTGGCAGACACTAGGCTGTGAGGTTTTTCACATTTCTAAAGTACTGCAATAACATTACAATATGTGATCTTCATAACATAATTAAAAAGTAGTACAAAGTTTACACATTTCTTAGAGTGGGAAGATACACATCTTCCCTTTATACAGTAGGGCACCGCTTATACGGCGGGGGAGATGCAGCAACATCTCCACCAAGCTGTACGAAAATTTGTTTCACTCTTCCATTACAGATGCTACGACTCATTTACTCCTTATTTGTAAGGACTGGCAGACACTAGGCTGTGAGGTTTTTCACATTTCTAAAGTACTGCAATAACATTACAATATGTGATCTTCATAACATAATTAAAAAGTAGTACAAAGTTTACACATTTCTTAGAGTGGGAAGATACACATCTTCCCTTTATACTGCCATGGCTACAACTACCATTTTTGGCCGATCTGTTTCTTGACTGGAAAATCCTACAAATAACTGAACTAACCAAAGATGACAGACACCCTAAAACGAATAAAACATACCTATTTCATGTACATAGTAACCGAAACAAAATAAGTAAATGATGCATGAGTTCTACTCTTTACGCACAAATTTGTATGCATATCGTCAAAGGGTTAAGAAGATCAGTACAAAACCAACCAAACTGTCGAGACCTCCACCCAGAAGGTCAACGGGAGGTGGCGAAAATACACTAGTTGCGGCTGGAACTGGAACAGTCGGAGCACTTATGTCCATGCTGAGTAGATCACCAATAAGGGAATCTTGAGCAGGGATTACTGCTGGCTGGTCACTCACCCCAGTGGCAGTCTCCAGTACTGTCTCTTGAGAACCAGCTCTAGAATACACAAGTGTAACATATTCTTTAATCATATAGGACATACAGGTAGTGGGGCATATATGAACGTAACAGCAAGCAGGAAGCAGCAAAAAATTCAGTTTCATTTCACGCAGTATGTCTTCAATAACGTTCAGGGTGGTAAAATAATACTTCTGTCAAACTTCACGTTTCTGCCACTTAAACATGATATGAGATGATTCCATTATATATTAAGAAACAACTGTTTTGCGAAAAATACATATTTAACACTAATATGCTGTTTTGAGAGATTTCACAGGATGAAAAATAATGTAACAAACTGTCACATATACTGATTGAGTCTTACAAGAATGAAAACTGTAAATTCATCGATACTTGCTTGGCCTCTTTTGAACGTGTCAATGCCCATGTACATATACTGTGACAAGCACTGTTACCATCAAAATAGCTGGCAATGAAAACCTAATCGATGCACAGTGCATACAGTAAGCGGACAGGCCATGCTCACGATGTTGAACTCTTCATCAGTGGTATAAGGTAATTTACCTGGCTGGCAACATTTTTCGCACCCCTGCACCTCTTCCTTCCACAAAAGCATTGGGTGGTTTATGATACACAGAAGCAAGACTAGATATATGACATATGAGCTCATCAAGTAGCGTCGGTTCCAAAAGATCTGTCTCCTCAGAGATCAAAGGTTTCTCTGCCAGAACAACTTCCTTAGCAGCTGCTGGATCAGTGGAAAGAAGGCGCCAATAAATGAAGCCTCGGTCACGCAAGTCTGGGTTGTCAGAGTCCTGAGTTGCCAAACTGAGCACTTGCTGAACCAACTCCTGTGTATCTGTTGGTCTCTTCAGAAATAATTTGACAATGGCTGTAAGCAGCTGGAGCTGAACTTGTGTGTTTTCATCATGGAAACCTTCTAAGAAGCTCTCCAAGAGTTCATCAGCATTATCAATTCGTTCCGCATATTCTCCAATAATCCATATCATTGATGCCCTACAAAATATAGCAAAAACTATAGTAAATATATATAACAATTCTATTTATCCTAGTTTCACTGCAAGATCGATCAAATTGCCGACATTCCCTTGAGAGTAATATCTCAGAGGACAGTCATCTTCATACTTATGACCATAAGAACCTGAAATCTCAGTAACAACTGTTTAACATGGAGGGGCAGAATCTCTTACACCTCACACAAAACAAATTCTAGTTTGTTTCTAATGTTTTCATGCATATAAATATTATACCCTTCCAGTCTGTTGAGCGACAATTTTACTGAATGTATTAGCCACCTCTTCCATTTATTACACATAAAAGACAAAACCATCATAACTACATCATATAACACCACCACAAGTATTTTATATCTTACCTGGCCTCAGGTTCATCAAGAGTATCCAGATTCTCACAAAGTGTAGAGATTATGCTCTCATACTTGTTGGGATATTTGCGGAATATGTCCTTGATCACCACAATAGCTTCTTGTACAACATAGTTTACCTAAACATCAAAAGAGATGAACTTTCATACACTTACAACTATTAATTGTCTAAACTTTTTCCATCGTCCTTGTTTAAAAGAAGAAACCACGACGTTTCGGAAACTGGCTCTGTTTCCGTCTTCAGGCGAGAGGTACCTACTCAGTTGGGTCCATCAGACAAAGCTAGTCTCTATCTATCTGACAGATGATGGAAAACGCCCAGATAGTAACTAATTTTAAGTGTAACACACCATCGTCAGAACCCTTTAGAATTGAATTAACTTTCATATACTTTAAAATGATGTAAAAATGAAAGCATGCCAAATTTTAAACAATCTTTTCAGACCACTGTCTGTCTTTTAAGCCCTCAGAACTCCAACACACTTCCATTTTCCTGAAGAATGCATTTACCTGCTCCCATACATTTAAGTCTCTTTCATGGTTCATTACATTATTTAGGTTCTAACAACACAGAGCGATGCCTCCACCTGGAGTACCTACTACCTGGACATGTAGCAGTTCACACTCTTTTCACTGGTTTTCCTGATCTGTCAAACACTTTTGAGTGGTGCATAAGCAGTTCCTATGAATACCATAGGCTGCTACATACAATTACACTCTGCACCATTGCAGTATATTAATACCAAAGCAAAGTTTTTTTTTTACAAACCTTTTGTTTTCTTTTTCATATGTGCAACACATCAACCCTATTCTTTAAATGCCTGAATTTAAGAGCCTGGCATTAAATGTGCTTCTATGTACCTACCTACCTACGTGGCATCAACATGTTCTACACCAGTGGTCCCCAACGCGGTGCCCATGGGCGCCATGGCTCTTTTTGGGTTCCCGCGTTGTTACGGAAAGAGGTTATACTGAATAATGAAGGCCGTTCAACCATGAACATTATGAAATCAAAGCACAGATCTCGACGATTGTTTGCGAGCAGCAACATCATCCTACACTCCCAAATTTGAAAAACTGGCCGATGAAATGCAGCACCAAACATCACAGTAACTTCTGACTTGAGTAATAATAATTGTACTTATAAAACTACGTATTTTTGATTGCACGGTTTCTTGTATCATTAAATGTCGTGTTGTTTTGTGTATTATTTGTTGTCCATATCTTATTTGTCCAGAGAAAATAAAATTTGACTTTGTTAATTGTGCCACAATCTCATAAACTCTCAAATGTGCCCGTAGGCACAAAAAGGTTGGGGACCACTGTTCTACACCATATCATATTATGACCTAGAAAATGTAACACTTTTGTATCTCAAACTTAACACAAGGATACATACACAAACAGTGTACAAACCTTTGTTTGAATGAGATCTAGAAGTGTGGACACACATCGTTCTGCTGACTGTTCAACTTTAATAGCACATCTACCAATGGCTCGTACAGCTTTGCGTACAAAGTCCACATCTACTTCTGTAGCATACCTGGAAAGAAGTTTCAAAATCACACTTAACTTTTTAAAATTATAAACGTGTTTAAAAAAGGAAACAGGTTTTAGATCAACATGAATTGAGATCCACTACACAATGTCTTCTGTGTATGCTTTAGAATGTTTGTGATATATTAAATACTGTCAAAAAGATTTTTCTAAAATCCTTAATAATGGTGTTACTTCATCTTGTAATACCAGAAACGTCGATGTAAACGATGCTGCAGGCTGTTAAGAACTACGGTAATAAAACAAATGTTCATACAGAAAACTAACAACTCACTCTTTAAGTTCCGAAAGGACTTGTGCAATGTTAGCTTGAGATGCAAGACGAATCATGATGTCCAGCTTTTCAAGTTTTACATATATGGGATCATTGTATTTGACAAAGAACACCTTCATCTCATGTTTAAGGATGTCTGGTCGCTTCTGAACAATAAGATTGATGTTGCGAAGGGCCACATACTGTACCTGCAACAAAGGTTGAAAAAAAATATAAAACTTAAACACATCACTTAAGCCATCCAATGCCACGAAAGGTGCTTAGAATATACATGTAATAAGTTTGGAACACTTATACTATGACAGAAAATATTTCATTAACTTGCCTGCTCATATTATTCTTACATGAATTACAATAATATGGTTTACACAAAGTGTATAAAATAAATGTGTTTGTCCATCTGCAATATTCACATCTAAAATTACCATATGGATTTGCATGAAATTTGGCATTGGAGTCTACATTAACCATTATCAAGTAAATTTAATTTTGGTTTATATTGGTCAAGTATAAACCCTACTTTACATGACGTACAAATTAAAATTCATCAATTTTTCTCAAAAATGACCAATTTTTATTTTTAAAAGTGACTTCATTAATTATATCTGGAAAAAGGATCAATATCTGTGATGAATAATGGAGTGTCAACAATTGTAATGGATAATGTCCACTGAAGTTGTCTCCACAGCTGGTAACACAACATTAAAATTTTGCCATAACCTTGAAATATCTGATTTTATGACAGCAACTATGTTACAAGAATCATCATTCTGGGATAAATATTTCTAATGATAGATGAACTTATGGGATTTGAGACTTTCGTGGCGAGAAAAAGTAAAGTAAAGTTTTTCCTGCTACGTTCCATAAAGGCGCTTAGGGTGAGTGGAGGTATAGCGAGTACAATCAATAAAATCTTCTCGGGCAATCAGCCGCATCAACTTGTTACTGTAGTATACTAACATTTCGGGAACCAACTCTGTCCCCATCATCAGGGTTCTGACGTCAGAACCCTGATGATGGGGACAGAGTTGGTTCCCGAAACGTCGGTTTACTACGGTAACCAGTTGACACGCCTGATTGCCCGAGAAGATTTTATAGATAGATGTACTTATTGAGGCCAGGTGAAAACAATGTGAATACTAAAATCAGTACATATAAATCTGAGATGACCAGTAACTTGCCTCAGGTTCTGAAGATAAGAGAGTAACAAGGGGTGGAGCTAGCTTCTTAGTTAAAGTTGTTACAAAGTCAGAGTCCGCAGGCAGCATCTCCATCAGTTTCATTAACACTTTTACAGCAGACAGTACCACCGCAGCATTGGCATGTGCCAGGCGAGGAGTGATTCTTTCACAAATGCTACAAACAAAAGCAAAGACACAAAACCTCATGTTTATTTTTTAAATTATTTACCTGTTTTGTTTCAACCTAAACATTACATAGCATCAAATTATACAAACTTTCAGTGGAAAGAAACTACTGCCAATAATTTTACTAATAATCCGTGGCGTAACAGTCCTCTGAAAGCCAAAGCCGACTAGCTGGTTGCTGGCCTCACGTTCACATGCCTAAGCAGAGGTGAACAATCATCCAACCAGATAGAGGGTGATATGTGGTCAGCACGATGAACCCCCAGCCATTGCTAGTTTTCATGACCGGATTACGCTACCCATTGTAGCTCCCCAATTTCCTCACGATGCTGGGTTGGCACCGGTCCCATACACCAGTCGTAAATCTCATGAGAAATTTCTTTCCCTGAGACTCGAACCAGCGCACATTCTGTATCACCAGTTCGAAGCATGATGCCTCAGACTGCGCGGTTATGGCGCACCACCATAATATTCCAATTATAAGCTGTGCATTAATTTTAGGGAATTGAAATTTGGGAAAAAAGTGATGTTTATATTCATATAAATAAGATATTATATTTCATGTTAACACTCCTTAACCCTGCTAACTTTTTCTATATTCCAGATCATCTTTTAGTATGGATTAAGGCTTGCTAATATAACATGACAAGAGCCAGAATAACTCAGTCAGTACTGTGACTAAAGACAGGATAACCAAGGTTTGATCCCCTGCATTAACAAAGAATTTTTCTCCTGGCCTCGGCATCCAGACCAGTGGGACCTATCCAGCCATGGGAACCAGGTGTCCTTTCCTCAAGGGTAAAGTGTGGCCAGGGCATGATGCTAACCACTCACCCCTTTCTAGTGCCAAGATAGTGCCACAATAAAGAATGAATAGGAACTATACCTTCTCACCCTGCAAGCACATCCATATCGTGTAGTATGAAAGCTTTACTTTTAAACAACACAACTTCAGTGAAATTGAGTTTGAATGCTAGTAGTTTTAGGAAAATAATCAGAAATATACCTTTGTGCCTCTCTGTCATCCTTAGGACTGTAGTTTGCTAATGAATCTAATATGAATATCTGGCCCCATTCTGTACATTCATTCAGAGCTGTCAGCAGTTTGTTGATTGTCTGGGAATTCATTTCAACGAGGGGTGATCCACTTGTGCTAGCCTCATTTATTTCAGACAATGCAGCCACAGCATTAGCGACCACCTGGATAAAGAAACAGCGTATCGTAAATTGCCACAGTTATTTTGTGGAAATCACTAGAATATCAACTAATTTAGTGGATAAATAGTATTTTTTGAATGTAAGATTTGAGGTTTTCACAGCGGTGAGTATGAAGATTTCCGTCTTCTGGGTTGTTGCGCTGTGTAGTCTGGTTGATGTTAACATCGACCAGACTACACAGCGTAACAACCCAGAAGACGGAAATCTTCAGTACTTTTTGAGTTTAAGCACATGTTTAAAAATGTGACTGCAAAAGATATCAAGCACTTCATAGGGGAAATATGTATAAAATATGATTCAATAAATCAGAAAAGCAAGAAATCCCACACTGCTGATGGAGGAACATTTAAATCTGTGTAAACGTGGGTTTTCTCGTGTCTACTGACAATGAGATTTTGCAGCACATTACAGAAATTAATATATCTTATTTTAAGTACATATCACAACTATTTGCATTCTATAACAACATGATGTATCTCAAGGGCCACAGAAAAAATAAAAGTCTCTTGAAATAAGAACTTTCTTGCCTTTGAAATGTCACACAATACAATTAATTAAATATAAAATGCAACAATTCTAACTGCATATCATGTTTTTTTAGGAAAAAATTCTCTGTTGATAAAAATATGAACTAAAGCCAAAAGAGGGAAGGAAGGGGTCATGAAACTTTTTAATCCATCAACCACTTATGAACCATGATGTACTCAGATTCAGAGATTTGTATTAAGGCAGTGAATGTTCAGAACTATAAGTAACACCAACCATTGGGTTTGAATCTGACAGCAGGTCTTTTAGCTGATCTAGAAAGCCCTGATCTTCCACCAACTGAGCATTTATATCATATAACTTTGCCACACACACTGCTGCCGTTTTTCGTACATACGGATCTTCATCTTTGAGGCATTTTCTCAGTGGCTCACAAAGATATTCTGTGATCTTGTCAACACGAATGCAACCCATTGTACGAACTGCCAGAGCTCGAATCAAAGGATTTGGATCTTCACAGTCCTGAAACCACAAACATCTCTTTATATGATAGCAAGCTTTGCCCCTCTAAAGAAAACTTAATATTGATATCAGCCTGTTACAACTCAGTTACAAAATATTCAAAATAAATAATTATAATTTCTGTGAAAGCTGTCCGCAGGCATCAAACTTCTGAAAATAATGATTTTTTGTTATTCACTTTTCTAAAACAAATATATTGTCAATATCATGCAAGTACTGGCAACATTCTTTATTACAGCACACAGTTAATAACATTATGTAAGACTTGAGGTTCTCACAGCGGTGAATATGAAGATTTCTGTCTTCTGGGTTATTGCGCTGTGTAGTCTGGTCGATGTTAACCAACGTTTCAGAGGTCATACTGCCTCCGTCATCAGGGCGATGAATATGCCAATAGG